TCGAAAAACCAAAAACGAAAGAAAGAAAGAAAGAAAGAAAGAAAGAAAGAAAGAAAGAAAGAAAGAAAGAAAGGAAAGAAGGAACAAAGAAAGAAAAAGAGAGAGAGAGAATCTCATCTAAGTCTAACATCAGGTTTTTTCTTAAGTTTTTATTTTTTGAGTTTCACTACGGAGTCGGGCTGGCCTATAACTCAAGTTCCTACTACTCAGCTCAGCTTCCAGAATGTTTCAACTACAGGCCATTTATTATTCCAAAATCAAAAAAAAAAAAAAAAAAAAAAAAAAAAAAAAAAAAAAAAGGCAACTGCTGCCTGCCCTCCACCCTTTATACTCTGGGGCACCGGGTGGGCCCCTTAGCAATGGCCAGGGACTAGGCTGGCCCTTACTTACCATTAAGGCAGCGCCTCCGATACTTGTGGTAGACATGTTGTGTGAATCCATTTTCTTTCAGCAGCTCATGGGAAGGATGCTGGAACTTGGGCAGCGACTGAGGGGTACAGCCATAGCTGCCAACTGCAGGTGTTCCTTCGGAAGGACTGGAGCTATGGAAGCCACAAGAATGATGGCATCACCAGTCACAAAATTCCTACTTAGCCACACCCTAAGATTAGGAGACATCCTTCTGATCTACCAGCCAGGGTGCAGTCTTGTACTGCATTGCCCTTAACCTACAGCAACCAGCTGTACAGTGAGTGACCTTGGGAAAGTTCTGAGGAGTCACTGAGGCTCACAGGGCTTAGGACACTGGTCCAGGGGTGGTAGAGAGCTATCAATGACAAAGGAACTCACAGTATTATACTTTCTTTAAATCCTTACTTAATTTTAGTGTCCACCATCTCTGGGAAGCCCAAGTACACAGATTGGTGATTCCTAAACCTTACTTTAAAATATTTTCGGCAAAATTAAATTTAAAAAGTGTCTGGGCCCTACACTGAGTAGCTAAGTCATTGAACTGTGATGCTGGGAATGGAACCCAGTCTTGTCATGATAACATGTCTCTATAGTCAGGCATGGTGGCAGTCTACTAACAGCCAGGAATGGTAATCCATGCCTTTAATCTCAGCACTAGAGAGGCAGAATCTCATGGACAGGTGGATCTCTATGAACTCATGGCCGGGCTGGTCTACAAAACAGTTCCATGCCAGGAAGGGCTGCATATTTAAGACCCTGTCTAAAAATAAAAGAACAAAACACAAAGTAGCTTCTAATTCCCGGGCCTTGGGCTAAGACCCCCACACGGCTGCTTGGATTTGGACTCATCTGATGAGAGCCATGTGCCCTACGTGCCCCAAAGGCAGCCTGACTGCCCTGGCCATAGTACCTAATAGAAGCAGTCCTGGGCCTGTGCTCCCGGGAATCCATCACCCAACCCACATGACTCTCCAGGGGGGGGTTCGAGCTGTGTCTTGTCTTCCTTTTTCGAGGCATCTGTAAAATGAAACCACAACTTGTTATCTACAAATCTACTACTATGATGTCATCAAGCAGCCCTTAGCATCCAAGTGATACATCCCATTTTACAAAAGAATTTTCTTATTTTGCTATAACTGCAGGTTGAACACAAAGCTTTGTGCACTAGACAAGGGCAATACCACTGAGCTATATACCCCACTCCTATATAAAAGCATTTTCTGATTACCTTAACCGGTGAAGTGGAGGGCCAGAGATATATGCCTGAGGACTCACATCTGGTCTGCCCTCCTTCAGGCTCTGCAGGCCATGCCTATACTCAAGTCTACTTTGTGAGCTCTCAGCCTAAGTATGCTGCTGGGGATCTTGGTCCTTTGTTGGCTCAGACAGGACAGAAAAGCAGGCAGGACTCCACCTGGCTGAAGTACCTTACCTTGGCATCTAGGGTCCGTCCTTCTTTCACCACTGGGTAAAACCGTGGTGTCTGACTAGAGTCTTTGAGTTGAGGGGTCCGGGGTGTGCGGGGGGTCCTAGCGTTTCGGTAGTTTGGCGACTCTGGGACAGTGGTTGGTAGAGATCGGGCAATGGTGGAGGGCTCAGGAGCACCAAACAGCTTGTTGGCCAGGGCATCAGTAGGAACTGCAGAGGAAGAATGGGGTCAAGGGGCAAGGAAATCTCTTGTTAGGGCTCAATACCCCTTACCCACACTGGGCTTCAGGTGCCCACCCCTTACCTTGTTGGAACCGAGGTGGTCCAGGAGGAACCTCCTGGTTGGGATCCACAGGAGGCTCAGGGGTCAGTGTGTCAAACTGCTCCCGACTAATCATATTCACTTTCTTGAAGTTCTCAACTTCTTGCTGTATATGTGAAGTAGGTGGAGAAGCTGTTAATAAGATGCTCTGGCTGGCTCAGGAATCAAGACTGGCAGGAAACTGGTGAGGCTAGCTTCCCTGTCCACACACAGGAATCCAGTCTCCATCACCATCCCTCAGTGCAGCTACCCTGGCATGAGGGTACTGCTCTCATCTCAGGTCAGTGTCTCCCCATGCATGACAGCTACCAAGGAACTTGCTGCAGACTAGACTGCCCTTACGGTTCCTGAGTCTTCCTACATTATATAACTCGCTCATTTCACAGGCTTACCATTAGGTCTACTCAGCACCAAACACAGCTATTCCCAAAACTGACAAGAAATACGTATCTCCATGAGGATCTCTCTTTTCTCAATTTTCCACTAATAGGAGTCCCTAAAAACTTTTTTACATGTGTCTGATTACTTAAAACTAGAGATAACAATCCAATTTTATCTTTCACAAGGGTCTAGCCAATTGTGTGACACCAAAATGAATGGTTAGATAGGAGAGTTAGTCATCCTATATGCTGTTTACACTTTACATATACATACACACTTCCTCTTGTCACAGTATCAATCACTCCCCCATACATAAAGACAAAAAGTTATAATGAAGGTACCTGCCCAAAGCCACATGGCCAGTCAACCTTCCTCCTCTCCACATGTTACAGGAACCCCAGGCCCTTGTTCAAAGCTATGCTTGAGCCTCACCTTGATCTGTGAATACTCAGGCTCAAACTTCTCAGTCCATAGGTCTTGTTCATAGTAGAAGAGCCCATCATTAATGACCTTGGCCAGCTCAGCACTCATCTTGGCACGAGAAGTATGGTTGCCCGTGCGGTCTCCCCCAGGGTGCCGACGCATGTAAGGTGGTGTTTGAGTGACAATGAGGATCTTGTTGACATCCCGGTCATCAATCTCATAATCAGAGTCCTCATCAGACCAGGCAGTGAAAGTATTCTTCCGCCCATCCATCTGCTCCATCTCCTCATCAAACAGGAAGTCTAGTTCTTCTTGCTCATCCTGATCCTTAGACATCAGCTGCTGGGAGGGAAGCTGCTGAGGCAGAGCAGTCGGGTGGGAGAACCTGGGCTCCTCTGACTTCTGAAATAGGGGCAGACACCAAAGGTGAATGTGCTGGGAATGACACATAAGACCCTTGGACCAGATTTTCTAGCTGCCCAAAAGGCTCTCTTGTCTCTCAGTTAAAAAACATCACAACTGTAACCCTGGTAACACCAGCAAATCACAGGTGTCCTCTCTGAACTCAGCTTCATGGAAAAAGAAACACCCCAAAGGAGCCCAGTTACACAGTCATTCACAAACAATTGTCTCTGTTTACCTTCACAGTCTACACACTGGCTGTTGAAAGCAGGCACAAAGCAATTCAGCTGAACCTTCCATTACCTGTCTACTCAACACCTTGGCAGACAGAAGTTTCAGACAAGCAGCCTTGCTTCAGTACCTTCAGTACTTAGACTGGGTCACAGCCAGAGCAGATATTCAATGGTTTAATGAGTGAGCACCCACCCAACAGTACCAGGCTCTGTATGAAAGTCTGAATGACCTGTACTTAGAAACTTCACAGTTCAGCAGGAGTAAGTCTACCAGCAGCCATCTGCAGTGTGGTTCAGCAAAGGCTCAAAACAGGTCTAGGAAGTACAAGGACGGTGCTGAGCCAGTCACAGCTGGGTGTGGTTAGGCAAAGCTTCCTAGAACAAGCTACTAGAGGATATAGGCAGGAACTGAGTGGGCTAGGCAGAAAAGACCGAACATCCCAAAGGCAAGGTGGGACATTTCAGTAGTGACAGACTCAATGGACTGACACCAGGAGAAGCGCTATCTTCCACATAGTATACATCCAGGAGGCAATTCTCTGATAGGTCAAGCACATTCAACAGAAACTCCAAACTACTACTTTCAAGGTTCAAGGTATTCTATGCAGGAGAACTGGGGCTAGCTGCTACCCCTGGCTCCAAACTTCCTAGAACTTGTACAGTTGACTGGGCCTTGGAAGGTACCTGTCTACTCAACATTGTTTTTCTTGGCTGAAGCCAACAACAGTGAGATATTCTGGGAATGAGCAGATAGGACAGGCAAAGAAGACAGGAGAGATGGACATAATGGCAAAATATATACAGGACAGAATTATATAGAAGACAAGTCCAAGGTCAGCTCTGAGGCCACTTCACAAGGCCTAGACCAAAGGTCTCTAAAGAGGGAGTTGAGGTTGCAGAGGTAGAGGAAATGAATCTGATGCCTACAGGCAGGGATCCCACCAGTAGTCAACACACAACACACATACTGCTTTCCCTTTTCTAGGACAATTTGACTCAACTTTCTTCATCTAAGAAGAAACTGAGACCCAAAGACCTAGCCATCACTGCATGAGACTTGCACTCCTCTCCACTGCCTCTTCTAAAGGTCCGAGGGACTCACATACAGAAGACCAAAAACAGATTTGGGGGAAAGGCCTGGGAAATGAAAAAGGAACAGCTGCAAATGAGAAACCTAAGCCACAGCTGCATGACCTTAACCTGAGGAAAAGCCACACACTGAGTTGGGTATCAGAGAGAGGTTCCTAAAGAATATAAACAGGCTGCATTAGCATTCCTACACAAGAAAACCCAGGATCATCTAGGTTTTCAGCTTAGCCCTTCAGGACTAAGTCAGGCCTCACCCACCTTGGGGCGTGCTGGGGAGGTACGAGGCCTTTTCTTCCCTTCAATCCAGCTCTCAGGGTCCAGGTCTGGGAGGCTGGCAGACAGGCCCTTGGGAAGGGTCTTCAGGTTGCTGACCTCCTCTGTTTTGGTTGGCACTGGGGTAACAGCACGGGGAGAACCAGGTGCTGACTCTGAAGGGAGGAAAAGCAGGGCTTCATCATCCTAGTCCTTCCAGGGCAGTCCTGAGGTGACTGAACACTGGAGGATAATAAGCTATCTAGCCCCCACTGGGCACCTACCAGTCTCCTTCTGGTAGTGCTGGCGGGGAACAAACTCTGGGCAGTTGAGAAGCTGAGAGAAATCTGTTTGTGAATAATCCACTATTGGTGGACCAGGAAGTGGCCACTTCTCAGGTTGTTCCCTCCTTCGGACTTTCTCCTCAACGATCTCCACCACCGTGCTGTCCTTTAGAGCCTGCAGAGGAAGAGAGACAAGAATGAAGAGAACCACCTAGGGCAAACAGAGATCTGGAGACAAACCAGGACCCTAAGCATTTGGTTCAGTCCAGTAGCAGTAGTAAGTATCTGGCCACACATTCCCTGACTGACAGGCACATGTAAGAGGTACAAACATGAAAATGAAAACCAAAATTACTCAACAAGCCTGCAAGTCAACTTAGAGAAATCCAGAGAACACTTGCACATAAAGGAGACCATATGTCCAAGATTTAGGCAAAAGGCCACTAACAGTGACAGTGACTGTAACAGGAAAAGCACCTGCCATCATGCTGGCAATTTAACCCATAAGATAGGAATAGGTCAGGACAAATACTAACTAACCTTTTATTTGAATTTTGAGAAAAACAAAGATTTTTATAATACAACTGTTATAAGAGGCACAGGTAAGTTATTATGGGTTGCTATCTCTGAATACAAAAGTGAAGATTAGTCTTTTTCTCTTTCTTTCCTTTTTTCTGAGACAGGGTTTCTCTGTAGTCCTAGCTGTCCTAGAACTCACTCTGTAGACCAATCTCATCAAACTCAAGAGATCTATCAGCCTCTGCCTCTCAAGTGCTGGAATTAAAGGTGTGCGTCACCACATGTGGCTTAGTGAGAGATGTTCTATGTAAACTCTTTGAAATCTTTTGAGGGAAAGAAGGAAAGGAAACTTGTGGTAATGGTGTCATTATAGCCAAGGGAAGAGGAAGAGAGATTCTGTGGGTGGGAGTGCAGAAGATTCACATCTAGAAAGGGTTATACAGTTTCTTGCAAAATTAGTTTGTATTCACCTTTGTATCAACTACCCTACTTCTAGAGATCTATGCCAAAGACAGAAAGCTAAACACACAAGGCCATCTGTTTTATACATATGCTGTTTGTATATCAGTAAAAGACTGGAAGCAGTTAAGAACACTTGACTGCTGCTCTTCCAGGAAGGTCCAGGTTACATTTACAGCACCCACATGGCAGCTCATAACTATTTGTACTCTAGTCCCAAGGAGAATTCAACGCTCCCTCTGGCCTCTGGAGGCACTACCCACACACAGTGCACAGACATACATGCAAACAAAATACCCATACATACATATACTACCCCCCCCCCCCCACACACACATACCCAAAGGAACTGGAAACAACCATGGTTGAACACCATGGGATGTTGTACTTTGCAACTTAGAATGGGGTAGTGAGTTCTACGACAGCCAAGGCTACGAAGGGGAACCCTGTCTTGGGGGAAAGAGAAAGGGGGATGGCGCTTCTATTTTAAACCACTTTGCAGCTAGTTCCCAGATAAAACAAAGAAGTGATAAAATACCTGTGCCTTATCACCATTTACCAGCACTTGGGGGGCAGAGGCAGGCAGATCTCTGTTGAGTCCCATGCCATCCTGGTCTACAGAGTGACCCTGTCTCAAAAATGTAAAATAATAAAATAATAATAACATCATCAAGAATTATCTCTGACCCCTAGCAGTAATTTTATACACATAAGTCTCTGTTTTTATTTCTTTTGTTTTTATTTATTCATTTTTGTTGTTGGTGTTTTTCCAGACAGAGTTTCTCTGCGTAGCCCTGACTGTCCTGGAACTCACAGAGATCCGCCTGCCTCTGCCTCCTGAGTGCTTGGATAAAAGCATGCACCAGTACCATCGGGCAAAAATGACAGTTTTAATACTTTAATGTCATATAAAGTATTTGAAAGTCATATAAAGACTTTGAAACCATGGATTTTACTTAATTTTTTCTGAAAACTGAGAATTATGATACCTGATTAATTCTCAAAACTTGAGTGCAAAATAAAATTAATACATACCAAATTAAAGGCATAGTTTTCACAAAAAATATTTTCATGACTTAGAGTGACGTTCATCTGACCACATAAATTGCTAACAAGAAAACAAAACCCAGTCTGCAGTGGTAATGAATGAATTACCATAGGAACAATATGTACATACTATGAATTAAAACAAATTAATTGGGAATTTGGGACACGAAACAAAAAAAAAAAAAAAAAAAAAAAAAAAAAAAAAAAAAACCCAAAAAACAAAAAACAGAAGCTGAGCATGGTGGCATACACTTTTAATCCAGCACTTGGGAGGCAGAGAGAAGCAGGCAGATTTCTAAGAGCTCTTACATACCGAGTTCTAGAACAACCAGGACTATACATACAGAGACTGTCTGAAATTAAAAGAAAATAGCCAGGTCTGGTGGCAAACACCTTTAATCCCAGCACTGGGAAGGCAGAGGCAGAAGCAGAAACAGGTGATCTCTGAGTTCTAGGCCAGCCTGGTCTACACAGTGAGTTCCAGGACAGTCAGGGCTACACGGAGAAACCCTGTCTTGAAAAACAACAACAAAAAAAGAAAAGTACATCTCATAATGTACTTTACTCAACCTAGAAACAATGACTAAGCAAGAAGCAACAGCAATGTGTGGTATCTAAACTCCAGTTCCTCTGAAGAGGAATTAATGTATTTTAATCTCAGCAGCTGGGAGGGACAGGCAGGCAGATTTCTCTGAGTTCAAGGCTAGCCTGGACTAAAAGCAGCTCACCTGGAGCAGGCATGAACCAGATATAGGAAAGATCCAACAATGGACTGAAAAAAAAATATAGAGCAATCTCTATTGCTTATAATATATAGTGAGTGCTAAAGAGAAAAGTCATCTTTGAAGGACAAGGGGAGCCAACTCTCAAAGTTGTATGAACTCTTCACAGGGTACAGAGGATCAAGCTCCTCATATGTCCCTCCTGTTCTACATCTTGGTTAGCAAACAACTGACAAGCAAGTGTCTCTCCACATGCTAGCTAAGCAAAGGTTGACTAAAGTGATTAGAGTACCACTATTTTGTAACCCCTAAGGAAATTGTTTTTGTAATAACCACAGGTTTTATCTATCTCAGGAGACAGACTGTCACATGCCATCCAAAAGAAGACATTAGCCATTTATTTACAAAGCCCTGATCCTCACCATGCCTCTAGAACAGAACACCAAGTTACCCAAATTCAGGACTATAGATGAGTATGTGAGATGATGCCTCTGTCCCATAGACATGTAATCTTGTATAGGAGACATGGCCTAATTTATCTAACAAAAAATAGCAAAAGAAAGAAAGGGTTGAAGGAGATGCAAGTCCATACAGATCTGATCTGGACTCTTATATTTACAAACCATTTTATTTTATTTTATTTTATTGAGACAGGGTTTCTCTGTGTAACAGTTCCGGCTATCCTAGAACTCACTTTGAAGAACAGGCTGGCCTCAAACTCACAGAGATCTGCCTGCCTCTGCCTCCTGAATGCTGGGATTAAAGGTTTGCGCCACCAATGCCCAGCTTATGAACCATTTTTAACTATATCTGACAGCAATTGGGGAGAATCTGAAACAGAGTATCTGGCAATATTAAATAACTATTAATGTTTTTAGGTGTGATGATACTGTGGCTATTGAAATGCTTTATTTTCTAGGAAGACCTACAAGATCAGGGGTACACAGGCAAGACCAGCTGTTGTTGATTCTTGCTGTAGCTGAAATGCTATACCATGGTGGCACCTTGGGACTCAGTATATGCAGTTAGTGGGGTTTCATCCTGAGTTTAGTCCATCAACTCAGGACTCACAGGGATGATCTTACTTTCCCACCCTTACCCACAGGAGAAGACATACCGAAAAGATGAGTGAAATGTCAGTGGTTAGGGCCTGTACACGGTGAAAGGAAGCAATAAGGGTGATGGGAAGGAAACCATCAGCATCCATTTTCCGTCTCAGGAAGAAGTCTCGCTCTAAATTGTCCACGCTGAAGTAGTATTCACTAAGTGGGGAAAAAAGGCATCACTGAGGGGCTATGGGCCTTCCCTGTTTCCTATCCATCCCTGCAATCTCTAGCCTTCTCACCTCTCTCCTAACATACAGCTTAAAGCAGAGGCTCTCAGCCTACGGGTCACAACCCCTTTGGGGGTCAAACAAGCTGACCCTTTCACAGGGGTGGTCACCTAAGCCCATCAAGAAACAGATACTTACATTATGATTCGTAACAGTAGCAAAATTACAGTTAGGAAGCAGCAACAAAACTAATTTTATGGTTGAGGAACTGTATTAAAGGGTCACAGAATGAGGAAGGTTAAGAACTACTGGCTGAAAAGAAATGATGCCCTGCTACTGCCTTCCACCCTTTCTGCCTTTCAGCTATCACAGGTGAACCCAACAAACTAATCCTCCTTTGAAACTCAGTTCCCATACTGTTCTGCTCTTATAACACTAACGCTACACTGCCTGCTCCCCTGTATGGGTTTTCCTCTGTTCTGTGAGATGGCACACATTAGTATGAGTAAGGGCAAAGTATATAGAAACAGCTTTAACCCTGTGCTTTGTTAGATATTGTGACTTGGAGGAATTACTGGCCTGCCTGCCTGCCTGCCTGCCTGCTCCCCTATAAAAGAGGGATAGGAGGAGACCCAGATCATGGGACTCCAGTATGCAGAAGTTATAGGATGGGATAAGAATAGCCTGCAATCACTTGGCAAGAGCCTGGCCACAGTGACAGCTCAAGGACATGCTTGCCAGCATCCACCACACTGCTGATGGGCTGCTTTGTGACTATAGGAGTATACAAGGGAACCAGGCTGTTCACCTGCTAATGGTAGTTCATTTTGCATAGCTTAAAACAGGGCTACTACATCATTGCTCACTAGACCCTGTTCTGGGCCCCATTCTGGCATAGACCGGCAGAGCCTTCACACTCACATCTGGCGCTTGATATAGTCCTTTAGCAGCTCCTGGTCAACATTGTAAATCTCAGTGCTGCTGAGATTGTCAAAGTAGTAGGTGATGTTGTTCATGTACTTGGGGGTGCGAGGCCCCTCTGTACCATCAAATTTTCGGTAGCCAAACTGGTAGTCAAAGTGGGCTACAGGAGAAATGGGCATCATTAGAGAGAGAAGATTCCCCGTCTACTACTCCTCCCACACACCCTTGGACATCCCAGAACCCAAATGGGCTTCACGTACTTCGAGTGCCACCCCGTCCACGGCCCCGTCCACGACCACGCCCCCGTCCACGGCCACGGAAAGAAGCCAGGCAGGCTCTGGTTTGGTCTCTGGTTGCCAGGCTGGGGTGGGTGGGGCAACAGATACAGGCATGTAGGTGACAGGTTCAGATCCTGTGGTGAGAAGGAGCACAAGGTAAATCCTGAGAACATCCTCGTCATCCAGACCGTCCATACACAGACAGTACATACCTTTGATCTCCCCTCGGCTAGCAGGTGTATGTCTTGGCTCCTGTGGGCGAGTGGGACGTGAGGCCAATTTCTCTCTTGGTACTTCAGGCTTCATGTCTATTTGCAACGGAACCCACTTGTGTTTGTTCCCTGAGGGACAGCATGGGCATGTGAGAGAGGCATGGCAGGCCCCTCCTACATGACTTTTTTTCCCCTTCTCTCAAAGTTTTGGCCCAAAACTACCCATCTGGTAACCATGGGAACATTCTTTCCAAACACTGTCTCCCCTCACCCAAACTCTAGAATAAGGAGGTCAAGGTCGGTAGCTCTCAGTGTAAGCATCACTTTCTGGAGCCATATACCTGGCTGCCCCAAATTAAGATTAACTTTCCAGTCTTCCTTCACACATATGCCACATTACTGCCTGTGAGAACTGTGAGGGACCAATTTAGGTGGAGTGAACAGAAAGCAGGGAGCCATTTTTGAGGGAGGCTGCTGTGCTGAGGTGAGAATAAGAATGAGTCAGGGTTGCTACCTCAGGCCTGGCCTGTGAGTCTGTGAGAAAAAGCAGTCAAGCCTGTATCATTTCAGCAGGTTTTAGAAACTCTTAGAGCAATGTAAAAGCCCATTTAAGAGTAGATACACTAAGGCTTAACACGGCTGTTCCAAGTAGTGTGCCACCTCCTGATCTGAAGACCCTTCAATCGAGCGATAGACTTATGTCATTTAAAATTTCTGCAAGCCATACCTCCTAGGTCCTGCCCGAACAGGAGCACTTACCTTTCTTCTTCTGCCCGCCTCGCTGGCAGTCCTCATCCCCATTCTTTTCCTCCCCTGATTCATCTGACTTTGTTTTCGGGCTCTCCTTACTATCACTTCCATCTCCTTTCTCCTGCTCCTTCATGTCCTTCTTGGGAGGCAGCTTACGGGCAGGCTGAGGCTTGTGGGACTGTGGCTGCAGTAGGCAAAGGAGAGAGTGAAGGATACACCTGGTCATTGGGAAGGTGTTAGGGCAGGCTACACTGGATACATCCTAAGGCCTAACATTCATTACAAGACAAGGCCACACTAGCCATGAAGTAGGAGAAACGATATCTGTGGGCTAGAAGAAATGCTTGTCTGTACCACCTTTACAGTAAGGGTAAGACCCACCGAGGTGGTCACTAGTTCAGAACAAAAGTACTGAGAGGAACAGAACTGAACAGTCTCTTCTGTCAGGGTCCAGGGGAGCTAAATACACTTTCCCAAGTAATGGAGAAATATGGGCTTTGGAAAACTACAACACAGCTGTCTCCTAACCTACTGAACCATCAAGAGCTACTATACTAACTTCTGGGGATCATTTCACTAGAAGGCAAAGAGGAAATGAACAGTGCTTGGCAGATCCTGAAACTAAGCAAAGGCTCACATGACGGTAATTCCTAATTATTTCATTGCTGCTCACCTTATATAATTAATCAACATGTGTTTGTTCAGATCAGAAGGGAGTGTGTGTCCTATGTTACCCAGAGAGGCCTTGAACTCCTGGACCAAGCAGTCATCCTTCTTTTGAGTAGCTGGAACTACAGAAGGATCCTACAGTACTCCTCTTCAAATCTCAAGAAAGGTGAGACTTACAGCTCTTGGACAAAAGCCAAAGGAGTTTGTAAAGATAGCACCTGAACCTGTCAGCCCCTCCCCACACTCACCTGCACGCTCTTGTTGGCTATCTCTCCAGGTGTAGGCCAGTTGATTGCATCTCCAAAGTCACCAACCTACAAGACATAGTCTATGAAGGCCCCAGGATTACCCTGCCTGGGTCATTTCACTCACAGCCACGCTCTAGTTTCCTGAGAGATTTAGACCACTTCAGTGTATACAATCAAGATGACGTGCATGGGCACCCAGAAGGGGTTTCCACACTCTTCATGAGGGGCCAGAAGTGCTTACTAGAATAAGAAGAGGGATCACCCACAGGAGTCACTTGCTCCTTACCTTGCTGCCCTTGCGCTGTTTAGGAGCAGCTGCCCTCACTACCTTGGCTGGAACAGAAGGTTCTGTGGGAACAAGGAGGAAAAAAAACAGCTGTTAAGAACCTGTGTCACCACCATGCCCACCCACCCATGCACCTGCAGGTTCCCAAAGGAGCCACTGCAGAGAGGGTAAGAGTATGTGCTGACAGCCCTGCACCCAGGAGTCCAACTCTGAGATGGGAAAGCCCAGAGTCCAAGTCCGTATTTATGAGATGCCAACTGAAGCTTGAGAAGGAAGCTCATGCCCCAATCTGCACTGTTTAACTCAGGCTTCCAAAACTATGGCAAAATCTCTAATGAAAAAAATAAATTTCTTCATGAACAGAGAAAGGGAAGCTAAAGACATATAAGTGGACAAGTCCAGGGCCATACCAAGGCCTACTTTGTCCTAACTGACCTATAGGTGAAGCAAGAACCAGCTTCTCTGTCCCTAAAGAAAAGGTATACTCCAATTTGACCCCATAGTTCCGTCTATTTGGACAGCATCTCACAGTGTAGCCATTACTGCTTTAGAACTCTTCACGAACACCAGGTTGTTGAATTCACAGAGATTTCCCCTGCCTCTGCCTCCCAAGCACGCCACCATGACTAGCCAAAGTTTAATTCCAATAGTACAAGTTAAGCATGAGCTATGCACAATTTCAGCTCCAACAGTACTGAAACCACCAAATTAAGTCTATCCACTTCACAAGTCACTAAAATATAATGATCTCCAATTGTGTGAAGATGGACACAATGAAAGAGAACAGTCACAAAATAATATTTTCTATGGAACAGATAAGAATGTGTACATTCACACATCCATAGGGCAAACTCTGGAAGGATGTGTATATCTACAAAGATGAAGACAGCTTTTAAAGAAAGGGGTGTGCATGTCTTTTCTAAAGGAAGTGGTTCTGGTTAGTTTGCTCCCGTCTACATACATGTACTTTCCCAATGCAGCTCTGAAAACCAAGAGTGTTGTCTGTCTTTCTCTCCCTCCTCTAGAGATCCACAGGACTCAGCTCATCTACTTAGTTCTTGCTTCCCTTCCCTTCCCCTGCCATGCCAGGCCAGGAACTGCCCCAGCCTCCAAGCACAGCGATCTGCCCAGCTGGCTTCATAAGAAGGTTCTTCATCAGACCATGTCTTTTAAATGAGCAGAGAGTGTCCTTGCCCAATTCCTAACTGTGAGGCCAATGCATTCCTGGCTTCCGGCCATTACTGGAGTCACTGCCCCTAATGGTAGATACATGCCTTCTGATAGCTGGGGTTGTAGAACCCAGCCCACAGCACCCTCACCCTCCAGCATTGAGAAGCAGAATACCAGAAAATCTAAGAAAACCACTGTCCTGTGACCCCAGGATGACACCTGTGCCATATGTGGTAGCGTATTCCTCAGGAGACAGGAGGATCTCTGGGAATTTAAGGCCAGCCTAGTCTAGATAGAAAGTTCCAGGACAGCCAAGGATACCTAAGAGTGAGTGAGTGTGTGTGTGTGTGTGTGTGTGTGTGTGTGTGTGTGTGAGAGAGAGAGAGAGAGAGAGAGAGAGAGAGAGAGAGCGAGAGAGAGAAGAGAGAGAGAGAGAGAGATTGAGAGATTGAGAGATTGATTTTCACCTCCTTTAGCCCAAGCCGGGCTAGTCCCTCCCAACTTGAGCGGTAACTAAAGTAATTTATTCATGTGCTCAGAGGCATGGGGGCATGAAGGAAAGCAGGCCCCAGGGCTAGGGACAAAGTTTACTTAACAGGAAGTACATGAGAACTGGGAGTAAGGTATACTAAAGATGAGTATATTAAAGGAAGTGGCTCTGGTTAGTATACTTCCTTTAGTATACCTCTGAAAAGAGGCAAAGGTTTTCTAGACATTGGTCTTTTTAAGTTTCTTGGTCTGGGTAAATGCACATCACCAGAAAATGTAAAATCAACTCCAACTGTTTTCTGATTTCCACAGGCATGCCATGGAGCTCCTGTTCCCTCAAATAAATAAATGTAATAAAACCCCTTTAAGCTCTTTCCTCATTTTTTTTTTAAAGGAAAGGTCTTGCTATGTAGCCTAAAGCAGACTCAAAGTTCCAGCAATCCCCTTGTCCCAGCCTGCCAAGTAGTAATTCCAGATGTGTGCCCCACTACCCAGCTTATTTCTCTCCTCTCTCTGTCCCTCCTTCTCCCTCTCTCTCATTTATTTTGTTTTTTTGAGACAGGATTTCTCTGTGTAACAGCTCTGGCTATCCTGCAACTAGCTATGTAGACCAGGCAGGCCTTGAACTCTCCGCCTCTGCCTCCCGAGTGCTGGCACTGAGAGTGTGCAATATA